AGGGTAAAAGGCAGCTTCTTCAGCTTGTCTGACTTTGTAGTCCTCTGATCGTTAAAGCATTTGGCCAAGGCTTCCAGCGGTGCTTAAGCATGTGTAGTTAATTTGGTGAACCATTTGAGTGGCACCAAGCAGTTGGGTGGTACAGTGGTTAGAGCACCAGGCCTAGTCTCAGGAAGACTCATTTTCTTGAGTTCAAATCTGGCTCAGACACTTAACCAGCTGTGTAACCTGGGCTAGTCACCTAACCCTGTTGGCCTCAGTTTCCTTATCTACAAAATGAGCTGGAGAAGGAAAGAACCAACAACTCCAATACCTTTGCCAAGAAAACCCCAAATGGGCTCACAAAGAGTCCAAAAGGACTGAAAAACAACTGACCAAAAACTGATTGAGTTTGGCTGCAATATGGAGTACATACCATGGAATAAGCCTATGAGGTAAGATGGGCAGGAAAGGATCTTGGCCAAGGAGGGACAGAACTCTGTGGGTAAGTAGTTTGTACCTCATTTCAGAAGAAGTCAGAAGCCTCCAAAGGTTGGGTTGGGGAGTATCATGGGCAATCATGCACTGGACAGGGTAGTTCAGGAATCTGTCGGATGGATCAGAAAAGGGAAAGGCTGGAGGCAGAAGACCAATGAGGAGGCCCTTACAGTGTCTCAGCCAGATGTCAGGAGGGCCCAGGTTAGGCTGGCAGCCCTGGGAAGGGAGTGAAGGGGAGTTATATAGGTCCACTAACGAGATATGGATTGTGAGGAAGGAGGAGATGTCAATGACCACAGACATCTTCATCTTGGATAACTGGGTGGACAGGGGCCATAGTATCACAGAATCCAAGACCTGGAAGGGAGACTGGCAGCCCTCTGGTCCAAGCACAGTCACCCACTTCCACATTTCAGGAAGCTGATAGGCAAGGATGTGGCCACAGTCTTCACCCCGGAGGAGTGGAGCCAGCTGGGCACAGCTCTAAGGGCCCTGCCTAGGGAGGGAATACCAGTGAGCTAGAAGTACCTGGTCTTCCTGCTGAGGATAGCTTTGTTCTGGGCCTTGGCATCTCTCATCAGCAAGTTCTTACATTCTGCCTTTCTAAAGGCTGCCTTCTCTCAAATGCTGGCCTCAGGTGCTGCTGCTAGCACAATCAATTTTAGGAATATGTGGAATGAATCCTTCAGTCCTTTCAAGCCAAGAATCAGAGGGCTTTTTCTTCCTATTCCCAGGACAAACATCTTTACTTGTGCTAGTGAAAATGAGGCCCTTCATCACCCTGGACCTATACTTTACCTGTTTTCTAATGAGAGTAAGACTTACTGCCTTCTCCTCGAAGGGCAGTGATTTCCTTCTAACCAAAGACTCCATGAAGGTACCTGAAGATATGAAAAGTGCCTTTGGGAGGGTCAAATGGAAGAGTTTTCTTTGGAGCTCACGTAAGCTCTAGGGTTATCTTTGCCCCTTCTCCACCTCCTGGGAATGCCATCCAGAGCCTCTTCCATGTACCTTTGAACCCCACTTTGATCTGGCCTCTTATTTCTTCTTTTTTCTGAAGAGAAAGGAGTTTGGATTGAGTACTGAAATGACTCTGTCCCTAGACCCTTTTCCTTTCTGGCTCATGAACAGGGCATCCAGTCTCCAAACCAGATTGGATCTTGCCCTGGATTCCTGAGGGATAGTTCCCAGGAAGGCTAGGACTGCAGTTCTCCTTTGGGCTTTCCATCCTGGTTATTCCTCTGCAGGCTTCAGACTGGGCTAGAAGCTGGAAATGAGTCCCTGCTCTACTCCTGGGTGGTCTGAGCTGCCACTGCCCCTCCTCCACACTCCCCTGCTGGCTTCTGAACTTGGGCTTCTCCAATCAAAGTTATCTATGGCCACATGAAAAAATACTCTAAGTCAATATTGATTGGAGAAACACAAATTAAAAGAATGCCTATTAGATTGGCTAATAGGAAAGAAAAGTAAATGATGAGTGGTGGTGGGATTGTAGGAAAAATGAGACATTAATGCATCGTTGGTGGAGTTGTATAATGATTCAAGCATTCTGTTGAGCAGTTTGGAACTATGCCCAAAGTGCTATAAAACCAGGCATACCCTTTGACCTAGCAATAGGAATACTAGGTCTGTATCCCAAAAGAGTTAAAAAAAACAAAAAGGAAAAGGACCTGTATGTACAAAAATATTTCTAGCAGCTCTTTTCTGGGGGCAAAGAGTAACATATTGAGGATATGCCCATAAACTGGGGAATGGCTGAACAAATTGTGGTATGTGATTATGATGGAATACCATTATACTATAAGAAATGATGAGCAGGATGCTCTCAGAAAAACCTGGAAAGACTTACATGAGCTGATGCAAAGTGAAATATACTTTGTGGAAAGTAACAGCAATACTGTAAGATGGTGAGTTGTGAATGACTTAGCTATTCTCAGCAGTGCAATGATCTGAGACAACTCTGAAGGATTTATGAAAAATGCTATCCATGACCAGACAAAATACTGATGGTGTCTGAATACAGATTGAAGCAGACTTTTTTTTTTGCTTTATTTTTCTTGAGGTTTTTTTTTTGGTCTGCTTTCTTTCACAACTTGACTATTATGAAAGTGTTTTGCATGACTACCCATGTATAACCTATAGTGAACTGCTTGCCTTCTCAATGAGGGGGGTGGGTAGGGAGAAAGGGAGAGAAAGTTTTCAAAACAAATGTTAAAAATGTTTTTTACATGTAACTGGGGAAAAATAAAATCCTGAATGAACTTCTCTCAGTCTTGGGCTAGCTACTGATTCTTCCCCACAAGTACCCCTCCCCCCACCCCCGTGGGTTTGGGTTCCCTCCTGAGTCCACCCTGGATCTGCGCCCTGGACCTGGGTAGTGGGTAATAAGGCTGCCAGTCGGGTCTGTCCCTTTACCCTGCCACTGGAGTGCTCCGCCAGACCCTGTCCCCAGTGGCCACAGACCTCCCTCTATGTCTCCCTGTGCCCTTGTGGGCTGCAAAAATGGCTCCCCTGTGACTCGTTTTCGGATTCCCCCCCTCCCAACCTGCTCCCAAGGTTCGATCTGGGGCATGTTCTAGATCTGGAGGTAGGGGGGAGGAAGTCACTATTCTAGTCTTGCTACTCCTCCATCCTGTCTCTGCCTTCAGTCCACAGACACGTTCAACTCAACTGTCCCAGACAGAACTTAGTCTCTCTCCCCCATCCCTCCTCTCTTCCAGACTTCCCTTTTACTGCTGAGGGCACAGCCATCCTCCAGGTCACTGGGGCTTGCAGCCTAGGGGTCCCTCACATGTTGTCTTCAGTCTGTTGCCATGTCCTTTAAATTGTACCCATGTAACATCCATTAAAGCTCCCCCTTCTCTCTGTCATGATCAAGGTCCCCATCACCTCTCATCTGGGTTAGTCCAGCAGCCTCCTCTGTTTGGCTTCTAAAGCCCTTCCTCGCCTGGCCCCTTCTCTGGTGAGTCTTCCCACCCCTCAGGCCCTCCCATTGTGCCCTCCGGTCTCCTGGCTCTTCCTGGCCATCTCCCGACTGGACACTCACTGGCCATCCTTATCCTGACCTTCTGGCTTCCATGGTGTCCTTGAAATATCAGGTAAAGCCCTCCTCCTGCCGTTCCCAGGCCTTCCTCCCAAAGTGTTTTGCCTCTGAGCTCAACCCCACGTTAACCCTCTAGAGCTTGTTCATCCATATTCTTTGTGTGTTGTCTTCTTCGTTAAAGCTGTGAGCTCCCTGTGGGCAGGGCAATAAAAAAGACTCGGGAGCGCGCCTGCCAAGACAAGCCTTGCTTCTCCTGGAACCCAGATCTCCCTACCTCCCCTGGAGCCCAGATCCCTGTGCCTTCTGGAAGCAAGCTTTGCAGGTGCAGGTCCCAGGGAGCTTTGTGCCAGCCTCTCTCCTCCCCGGCACCTGGCCTCTCTCTCACTGCCCTGCCCCATTCCCCCTTCAGCTATGAGAGGTCTCAGTCCGTCAGTGAACCACTTCATTTCTTTAGAGTGGGACACCCTTTCATCCTTCTTTCAGCAGCTTTTTCTCCTGAGCCAACGAGGTGTTATGGCCTCACCAAAGAGAAGGTCCCAAGGCACGCACTTGGCAGCTCCCCAAACAGCTTCCTAGAGGAGAGTTTACAATGTCCTTCCCACTTTTCTCAGAGTAAGTTCTTATTCATTTTAAAGTCAAACCTGCCCAGTTAACTACTCCCCAGTGTTTAAACATTGTAACCATCGTCTCTCACAGCTTAATTCGTAATTTCACAAGAGCTCATTTTCTAAGGATACAATTGCACAACCCTCGGAAAACATTCTTTCAAATGAAAAGCTTTTCTTATACAATTGTTTCCCAACATCCTAATAGAAGAAAAATTAGAAGCCTGATAGTAAGATAAACAACGTTACAGATTTAAAACATAAACCAAAATTGCCGGTGAAATGACTGCAATGCGTTTCTGAATTATCTTCCATAGAAAAACCACTTCCTCCTGTCCATTTGACACTCTGGACTGATTACATTCAGAGTAGAAGAAGGTAATTCTGAGCCGATTACACTTAATTCTTATTCTCACAGCTCCTAAAGGCATCACCTTAATGCCAGATTTTAAGCATATTTTGCATTAAGGACTGATCAACCCATAGAGGGTCAAACATCCCCATTATCCTCATGGGAGAACATAGCTGACTTTAAATGAGCCCACATTACAATTTAGATAAGAAGAAACCCAAGTCTGGATTTACAGTTACAAGTGGTGCAGAGAATCCCAATTTTCCCTAAGACCTTTTGTTGCAAGCTCCTCAAAGTAAAGGCAGGCACCCCTTTCTATTAGGCTGCTGCCCAAGTTTTATCCGGGCAAGCTTTCTGCACAGGGGGAGGACAGGATGAAGGCATGGGGGAGGAGGAGCTCTCAGAGATGACCAGCCTGGTGGGTGGTGGCCCAGGTGAAATAGGAGCCTTGGGTGGAGTTTGGAGGCCTGGGAGGAGTCTAGGGCAGAAGAGGGGTCATCCCAGTGAGGAAAGTCTCCACGTGATGGAGGGCAGGGCTTGGGAAGGAGAGGCAGGCAGGGTCCTGAGATCCTGGCCCTAGGTTTGATTGGAAGGGTCCATCCAGTAAGTACCAGGGCTGGCCAGGGTGGGCCTCTTGGGAGTAGGAGGCCCCTCCCTGAGTAGGCAGCCTGGAAGCCGGAACTTTTGGAGCTGAGATCATTTCATTCTGCTTTCCCTGGAGCTGAGGTCCCTTTGTCTTCCTTCCCGACAGCTGAGATCTCTGGTTAGCTCTGTGTGTGCAGGTCTCAGGTAGAGCTGAGCCAGACCTTCCCCTCCACTTCCTGCTTTCTGCTGGCTTCTCTTACCACTGAGTCTCATCCTCCTCTTTTGACCTCCAGGTAAGTGTCGGCTGGGTCTGCCTGGAGCACACCTCCTTTCCAGGCCTGGCTACTGGACAAGCTCCCTGCCCTTAACTCTTTTGCACACTCTCCATCATTTCCCAATGTCCAGAGTCACCCTCCCCGGACTTACCATTGGTTCACACTTTCCCAAACTTCAGACCTTGCCCATAGGGATCCAGGAGTCCTGTGTCAGACTTCCTGTCAGGACCCAGGTGTCTTGTCTCCCTGCCCCCAGCTTTTGGTTATAGATTGAGTTGTTCTGCCTTCAGACCAAGTCCTGGTAAGGATCCACAAATTCTGCCTGTCTTGAGGACCCACTTTGGGTGCAGGAACCAGATCTCTTCTGTGCCCCCTTATTTGGACCCGAGGCTCCTGGGCTGCTTCCCTCTCAGATCCCAGGCACTGGCTTCCCGTCCCCAATCTCCCATGAGGGATTCTAGGCTTAAGCTCTACCAGAGGGTCCCAGGAGTCCTCCCCAGCTCCTAGTTAGACCTCAGCACACAGCCATCCTGCTTTCCCAGGCTCAGTGTACACCTGGAGCCCTTCTGGCACTCAAGTGTCCCTGATCTCCCTGCCCCGAGCTGGATTAGAATGTCTCCCTTCCAGGCCCTACCTGTGCTCCCCTTCCCCAGGCCACCCGCATCTCCACCCCCTCTTCCTTCAGAGTCCTTAGGCCCCCTGTCACAGGGGTGAATGCCAGACTGGATTTTGTCTCTCAGCCTTAAGCTTCTCCTGGTCATTCCTGATGGCTTCACCCCAGAGCTCTCCCCCATCCCCAACCTTCCCTCCCTCCTAGGTCAAGCAGTCAGTTTGTTGTCTAGATAATGTGAGTGTGTTAGTTAGAGAGAGGGAGTGCAGGGAGGGCAGAGGACCAACTGGAGGGAGATCCCTGATTTGGGAGCCGTTGGGGCTCTGACTGGTCTCATCCCATGTGGGATCCCAAGCCGCTTCTGCCTCCTGGGTCTCTGAAGAAGAATGGAGGAGGGGAGTGGGGTGGAAGAGAAGGAATAAGAGAAGGTGGGAACCATCTTCATTTCCAAACCTTTGGGCTCCCTCTTTTTGTTGGTTGGAGTCTCTGTCCTGAGGGCAGGGGCAGGGTCTTTGTATCTCTTTGGGACCTCACCCTACATAAATCCCTGTAGGCCATCCTTCTGCCCTGGAAGAGAAGGGAAGACCTCTTCCTGTCTGGGATCCTTCAGCCAAGCAGGGAGCCTGGAGCCAGAGAGAATGGCCCCTGGGATGCTCAGTCCCCCAGCCCAGGTGAGTGCAGTCTGTCCTCAGAGCAACATCAGGCAAGGAGACCATTTCTACAGACTTGGAGGGTTGTCTATGAAGCTGGCAGTCTCTCTCATCTATGGATCATTTCTTTACAAAAATAGACACCCCTCCCCATCCTAATTGCTGCCCTCCCCCCCCTTTTTTTCAGTTATCCCTCATTACAAGAGACTGACAAAAAACTCCACTTCACTCTCATCATCTCTATTCTGTACATCCCAGATCTTTGCTCTCTTTAGGCCTGCCTAGCATGGCACACCTCCCCCCCAACACACACACAACTTCTCCCACCTCCCCTTTGTTTCTTGTAGCCAAGCTCCCTTTGTAGCAACTGAGGATCCAGGAAACCCTTCACCCTGAGTCTTGTCTGTACAGGCCTGCAGCAGAGCCCTGAAGGAATTCTCTCATTTCTGAGTGGTTAGTATTGAGGTCATTAAGCACATCTGTCCTTTTATTTATCAGTTTATCATTGCTGAGCAAACATCTAGGCTGATCTCCTTTGGCGGGTCTCATGGTGGGCACTCTTTGGGGGGGAGACAGACTTTGTGGTCTGTTTGACCCCTTTCATGGTGTCATGCCATTGAGAACAGGAATTTGGTGAGAGAAAAGTCGCCAAGAAAAGGAAGTTAACGAGAGTGTTTTTTCTCAGTTGTCTGGGAAATTCTAGGACAAGGTCAAGCAGTGCATCCTTGTGGTAACTGAAGTGTACACAAAGCAACTTGATCTGAAAGAATAGCAGGATGGCTCAACTGGTAACGCACAAGAGAACGGCACTAACCTGGTAACTGAAGGAGAGTAACAGAGTAGATTGATCCCATTCAGCCTTAAGACACTGACCTTGGTCAGAAATCCCAAGTCAGTGCTGGAGGATTGATTTAATTCTTTCAGAAGATAAGAGAGGTAAAGAAAGGTAAAGGTAAATATAGAGAGAGGTAAAGAGGAAATGTAGTTTCCAAATATATCATAAATCTATTATTTTAAAGACATCAAAATGATTTTAAAAAGTGAAAAGTCAGTTTCTTTTGTTCATGATAGAGAATTGCTGGAAAGCAATGGAATATCTGGTAAAGTGAATGATCTCACCATGATGTCTGTGGAAGACATCACCTACCAAGCATATTGGCCAAACATGAGGTCTGCATGTTATGGTTAGAAACATGGATGCTCCCTCCCAAATGTCATAGTGCCTTCCCACCTGGCCAACCTGTCCTGCATGGCATCCCTCCGTCTGCCTCCAGCCATTCCCTGGGCTCTTGTTCTCCCAAGGTCCAGTCATCTGGGGATACATTCATGTCATTGATCTCATCAAGAAGCTACAATGTCTTTCTTATGAATTAGCTCTAATGCCAGCGCCAGTTAATAAAATATTACATTTTAAATAATTCACCATCACAGTACCTCATACTTCCACATGACTGTCAAAATGAATGCATATATGCCCTTAAGATATAAAAAGCCTGGGGCAGCTAGGTGACACAGTGGATAGAGCACTGGCCCTGGAGTCAGGAGGACCTGAGTTCAAATGTGATCTCAGACACATAATACTCATTAGCTGTGTGACTCTGGGCAAGTCGCTTTAATCCCAGTTGCCTCACATTAAAAAAAAAAAAAGAAATAAAAGAAATAAAAGCCATCATGAAGCCAAGATTTAAAATGTTTTAGCTATGACTCAACGCTCAGAGCTACCTCAAGCTCTCAGTATAACAATAGTTAGCTCCTTCAGTTGGATAGAAACATATCACTTAAACCACTGATTGTAGTCCAGATTCTGATTAATAACTCATGTTTGCATCTTGATAACAATTTATTCCGGGCTTTTAGGAAATGAACTAGATAATTCCTTTTCTATACTTTCTACTCATAGGACCACAGAATACATTTTATCCCCAGAATATATGTTTCTTGATAGCTTTTCACAAATTCTTCAGAGTTTTCTTAACATATCATTTATGCCAATTCTGATGAGGAAGAAATTTCACATCACCTTCTCTCTTTCTCCTCCAGAGATCCTCATAGGTCTCTGATACACCACATAACTTCTCTGATTCCACAGGGAGTAGCATTTCATAGTAAGACATTTCTCAACTTCATTCCAACTGAAAACATCAAATGCTTTTCTCAGTATTCCTCTGGGCTTTTCATGACTGTGGTTTCAAGTGTTGGGTCTGACTCTCATCAAGGTTGTGACCTTTGGGCAAATCCATTCTCTGTGCTGTGGTTTCCTTCTGTAAATTGATGACTGGATCATTGGACTGGATCATTTCTGAAGTGTGTTTCAAATCCTATAAGTTTTGATATTTTAGGAGCTGGTGACATTCAAGGATGTGGCTGTGGACTTCACCCCAGAGGAGTGGGGTCTGTTGGACCATGCTCAGAAAGAGCTGTACAAGACTGTCATGCTGGAGAATGCTCAGACCTTGCTCTCCCTGGGTAAGGGCCATTTTCTCTGGGAACTCTGAATCAGCCTTCTAAAGGACTGTTTTCATTCCCTCCCTAGTATGCAGAGTTTCAGGTGTTTATCTGTTCTTAGAAGGGCCAACGTGCCAGCCCTCTGAGTCCAAGAGACAAGGCCCTCCTGCTGCCTGGTTTTCCTAGGAGAGGTCTTTGTGTAATGGGATAGGGAGCTGGGAGTTGTGTCTACAGACTCTCTAAACATTGATCCTGCAGCATTTCCTTGAAGATGGATAATGAAGGGAATCCCCTTCCTCCCAAGGCCTCCCTTCCTCTTTGGGAAGGGTTTTGTCTTTAGAGTGTCTTCTTGTTAATAAGGACAAATGTGCAGCTCCTTGCCCCTGGTGTTAGTCCTAGAGCCCTTGGATACCAGGTGTGTCCTTGTTTTTCCCTCAGACATCGCCCAAATTCAAGTAGAGATGCCAGGAAAGAAAGGGAAGGGAATAAGTGTGAATGTCCATCTGCTGTGAGTCAGGCACTAGGCTAATGGCTTTCTTTGTGCATATTCTCCCATTTGATCCTCACAACAACGTTTTTATTTTGGTGCCACTATTATCTCCATTTGATAGTTGAGACCACTGAGGCAAACAGACTCAATGACTTGCCTGTGGGCACGCAGCTAGTAAGTTTCTAAGGCCAGATTTGAACTCAGGTCTTCCTGACTCCAGCCCAGGGCTCTCTCCTCTGTACTATCCCTAAGGACGATGAACTTGCAAGTTCCTCTCCATCCTCATGCCTAATTTATTCCCCATGCCCAGGACTTCCAGTTCCCAGAGAAGATTGGATCTTCCATTTGGAGCAAGAAGGCCTGAGGAACTCCTGTCCAGGTGAGTGAGGTGAAAGCTGGAATGTGGGGGCTGAGGTCCCAAGAAATTTCTTCATGTTGCAGTAAAGGGAATGCTAGACTTGGGGGTGGGAAGACCTGACTTGTTTATTGCTTTTCAGACACTTTTTAGCAGTGAGATCCTTGGCAAGTCACTGAACCTCTGAGCCTCAGTTTCCTCACCTGTAAAATGAAAAGGTTGAACAACCTGACCTTTCAGTTCCCTTCTAGTGATAAATCAGTGATCCTTAAGAAGTTTCTGTTGGGAATTTTAGAGTATGGAACTCTCCTGCAACTATCTAAAGAGGGCTGAGGCTGTCTACTATGAGCTCTTTCTTAGGCCTTCCTCAACCCAGTAAGCATTTATTAAGTGTCTGATATGTGGGAGGCCCTGTGCTAAGCACCGGGGATCTGAGGAGATGGAGCGCACAGGCTCATGGGAAAGATAACATGGACTCAATTATGTAAAGCCTATTATATGCATGCTCAGTTGGTGCCAGTCAAGAGGAGGAAGGTTAAGGGGGACTGGAAGAGTCTTGTGGTAGGAGATGGGGGTTGAGCTTGTACTTCAGAGAAGCCAGAGTGAGCATTCTAGGCATGAGCGCCAGCCAAGGAAATCCCATGGTGTTGGAGGATAGCGTGTCCCATTCATGGAACAGGAAGGAGGCTTCTGTCCTACTGGATGCTAGCATATGTGAAGGGGAGTCAAGGTGAAAGAAGACTAGAAAGGTAGAAGAGGGGCAGATGACGATGGGCCCTAACAGCTCAACAGAGGATCTTATCTTTGACCTTGATGGTAGGGAGCCACTGGAGTTTTTTGAGTAGTGAGTGACATGGTCAGGCAAGAGCTTTGGGAAGATGGCTTTGACGGCTGGTTGGAAGATTGAGTGACCTGGGAAGGGAAGCCGAACAGTCAGTTCTTGTAACACCTCAGGTGTTAGGCTATTGAGTCCAGATCCAAGAAAGGAGCAGTGTTGGGAAATGTGGGTGATTGGCAGTATAGTGCAAAAAGAAGAATGAGGATTGACAAAAGACCATTGGTTTTAGTGATTAGGAGATCATCAGTGACTCTGGAAAGAGCTATTTCAGCTGAATAATGAAGCTGGGAACCAGACTGCAGAGAGTTTTGAAGCAATCAAGAGGAAAGGAAGTGGTGACCCCAATTCCAGATGGCCATCTCCAGCTGTTAGCCAAGAAAGGGTTGGAAGACACAGGACAACCTCACATGGGGAGGAAAGGAGCAAGTGAGGTTTCTATGCATCATAGAGACACGGTTATATATGTGGGACTAGGCAAGGAGCCACTGGTCAGAGAGAGATTCAAAATCAGTGGAAAAACTGAGGATGATCCAGAAGGAAATCTGCTGGGGAAGAGGGTGGGATGGAGCAGGATCATTGATGTATTTACATGGGTTTACTTTGGCAAGCAGAAGAGTTTCTATTCATGTGAGACCAGGGCAAAGGAGGAAGAGGAGGCATCTGATATGTGCAAAATGAAGAGACAAAACAGCTTTAGGTGAAGGTCCCATTTTTCAGAGAAATATGAGGCCATGTTGTGGTGAGACAGTGTAGAGGTGGGGGTGGAACAAACACCATTGCTAGGTGGAGGAGGCATGAAAAGAATTGGAAAAGCTCTGTGGTGAGTGTTATAGGGAATCTTCTGGGGAATGGTCCAAAGATTGCCTTGCCACAGTGAGGGCCCAACTGAGAGTGTGTAACTGAAATTGTAGTGGACTCAGGCAGCCTAATTTTGTGATTTTCTCTGTCTCCCTTCATGAACACATGAATAGGAACAAAGGCCACTGCTTTACTTGGAAATAATTGTGGCAAAAGGTATCAACCTTCATCCTTTTCCTGGTCCCTATGGCCCAGTCTTTGACCCATTCTTAGAGAATCATGGGCCAGATTCATGTAGGTGACAGCCACCATAAGGCTGGGGAAATGGCAGGGAGAGACTCCCAGGTATCTCATGGCAGGACCATGAGCCTAGATGCCATTGTCTTCTTCAGTGTTGGGTCTGGTCAGGTGTCATCAGGGTTAGAACTGTACTAAGATAACTGCTTATGGGTGACAAGGTTCAGACAGAAATAGGGCTAAGGCCAAACCCCAAACCTCTCCAAATACTCCAAAAAAATGGCTCTAAACAAATTCTAAAGCAGTAGAATCCAGAAAAAGACAGTGTGAAACACATTTCCAGCTGAAGATAACCTGGATGGTTGATTGGAAAGGTCTATCGCATGGGGCAGGGAGAGGCGTGCAATTCAGTGTGGGCATGCAGGCAAAGCAGACCTGAGAGGACTGAATCACGGGTAGCTGTGGCAGTTTCCAGATTTTTCAACCCATGAATGCCAAAGATAACTTAGAAGGTCAGTGAGAAAAGTCTGTGACTGCGGTGAGAGAGAAGCGCAGGGTCCCAGCCCCATTCCCCAAGCTTGGCCCTGGGACAGTGGCTGCCTCTGGAGCTTCCAGCCCACAGACTGAGGGGGAATCAAGTGGCTAATCAGAGGGGGATTACAGGGATTTCTTTGCCTGTGCTGAGGCAGGAATCTCTTGCTTTGCCTGTGCTTGGATCTGGGTCACAGTTCTGGGTGGTGATCCTAGGGAGAGGAGGAGCACTGATGTGGTGGAGCTTGTGGTGGTGGTGCAGAGGGAATCCTCCTCACAGTTCCAAGGCAGAAAAAAATGCTTGTGTTCACTTATAGACTGGAGCACAGGCCAGGAAAGGACTAAACACCTCGTCCTTGATCATACCACCTTGGAATAACTAAAAATTTACAGGTCCCTAGAAATATCTCTGAAAACAGCTACACAAAACCCCCAAAGCTTGGGACAGTATATTCTCCACACTGGAAGCAGATCCCTACCTTAACAGAGAGTTTAAAACTCAAGTAATTGGCTGGGATCATAAGCAAACTGTGCAAAAAAAGTCAGACCATAGAATCTTTCTTTGGTGACAAAAAAGATCAAAATATACAACCAGAAGAAGATAACAAAGTCAAAGCTCCTACATCCAAAACCTCCAAGAAAAATATGAATCAGTACCAGGCCATGGAAGAGCTCAAAAGGGGTTTTGAGAAGCAAGTAAGAGAAGTAGAGGAAAAACTGGGAAGAGAAATGAAAGTGATGCAAGAAAATCATGAAAAACAAGTCAACAGCTGGCTAAAGGAGACCCCAAAAAATTGAAGAAAATAACACCTTAAAAAAAAGCCTAACCCACATGGCAAAGAAGTCCAAAAAGCCAGTGAGGAGAAGCATGCCTTAAAAAGCAATATTGACCAAATGGAAAGCTCACTGAAGAAAATACTTCCTTAAAAATTTGAACGGAGCGGTTGGAAGCTAGTGACTTTATGAGAAATCAAGACACTGTGAAATGAAACCAAAAGAATGAAAAAATAGAAAACAATGTGAAATATCTCTTTGGAAAAAAAACTGAGCATAAAGCACTGGCCCTGGATTCAGGAGGACCTGAGTTCAAATCTGACCTCAGACACATAACACTCACTAGCTGTGTGACCCTGGGAAGTCATTTAACCCTGTGGCCTAAACCAAAAAAAGAAAAACAAAAGAAAAACAACTGAACTGGAAAATAGATCCAGGAGAGATAATTTTTAAATTATTGGACTATCTGAAAGCTATGATCAAAAAAAGAGCCTAGACATTATCTTTCAAGAAATTATCAAAGAAAATTGCCCTGATATTCTAGAACCAGAGGGTGAAATAGAAATTGAAAGAATCCACCCATCACCTCCTGAAAGAGATGTCCAAAGGAAAACTCCTAGGAATATTCCAGAGTTCCCAGGTCAAGGAGAAAATATTGCAAGTAGCCAGAAAGAAACAATTCAACTCTTGTAGAAACACAATCAGGATAACACAGGATTTAGCAGCCTCTACTTTAAGGGGCTGCAGGGCTTGGAATATGATATTCTGGATGGCAAAGGAGATAGGATTACAGCCAAGAATCGCCTACTCAGCAAAACTGAGTATAATCCTTCAGGGGAAAAAATTGACATTCAGTGAAATAGAGAACTTTCAAGCATTCTTGATGAAAAGACCAGAGCTGAATAGAAAATTTGAATTTCAAATACAAGACTCAAGAGAAGCATGAAGAGGTAAATAGGAAAGAGAAATCATAAAGGACTTATTAAAGTTGAACTGTTTATATTTCTGCATGGAAAGATGATATTTGTAACTCAAGATAGGTTGATAGAGGGCACAGGGTGAATTGAAGATGAATGGGAGGTATCTGAAGAATAAAATTAAGGGGTGAGAGAGGATTATACTGGGAGAAGGAGAAAGGGAGAGTAGAATGGGGTAAATTATCTCACATAAAACAGACAAGAAAAGACTTTTACGGTGGAAGGGAAGTGGGGGAAGGTGAGAGGGAATCAGTGAATCTTATTCTCATAGGATTTGACTTAAGGAGAGAATAGCATACACACTCAATTGGGTATGGAAAGCTATCTTACCCTGCAGGAAAATGGGGGAAGGGGATAAGAGAGTGGGGAGATGATAGAGAGGAGAGCAGCTTGGGTGAGGGGTTAATCAGAAGCAAACACTTCTGAGGAGGGACGGGGTCAAAAGAAGGAATAGAACAAACGGGGGGCAGGATAGGATGAAGGGAAATTTAGTTCGTTTTCCACAGCATGACTACTATGGAAGTGTTTGGCATGACTACACAAGTATAACCTGTATTGAGTTGCCTGCCTTCTCAATGAGGGTGGGTGAGGAGGAAGGGAGAGAATTTGAAGCCTAAAGTTTTAAAAACATGTTAAAATTTTTTTTTCACAGGCCACTGAGAAATAAGATATACAGGCAATGGGGTATAGAAATCTATTCTGCCCTACAGGAAAATAGAAGAGGAAGGGGATAAGAGAAAGGGGGAGAGATAGAAGGGAGGGCAGATTAGGGGAAGGGGTGTTCAGAATGCACACTGTCTTGGAGTTGGGGGAGGGACAAGGTAGGGAGAAAATTTTGAACTCAAAATCTTGTGGAAGTGAATGTTGAAAACTAAAAATAAATAAATTAACAAATCTTGAAAAAGAAAAAGAAAAGAAATAGGACTAAAGTAAACACCTACATTTGACAACTAAGAGAGAGACCAAAATCCTAGGACTGAGGTAGTTAGGGCCTAATATCACCCTTGGGTCCAGTCTGTTAGTCAGTAAACAGAGATTAATTGACTACTGTGTTTTAGGCATGGTGCTAAGCCCTGGGGATACAAAGAGAGGCAAAAGACTCTTCCTGCTGTCAAGCAGTTCAAAATCCAAGATACAGATATAGAGATAGTTTGAGAATAAGCAACAGATCATGGAACTTACTCTTAGCTAATCAAGGCAAAGAAGAGTGTTTTGGTTTGGAAATACTTTAAGTTGAACAGGCACATGGCTGAATACAAAGAGAAAGGAGAATGGTGGTTCATAAAGGAGAATTGTCAAGGTGGAAAGAATCAAAATTATAATGACAATGATAATACCCAACAATTACATGGTGCCTACTGTGTGCCAAGAGCTTTACAAAAATTATCTCATTTGATCCTCAGAACAACCATGGACAGTAGGTGCTATTATTACCCTCATTTTACAGACCAACTGAGGCAAAGAAGTGCTGTGATTTTTACAGTGTCACAGAGGTAATGAATGTCTGAGGCTGAATTTGAACTCAAGTTGATCTGATCCCTGGCACGTTGCCCTGCCCACTGGGCTACCCAGCTGCTTCATGGTGGAAAATACATTTCTATTCTGGAGGATTCTTCAAATGGGAGAGATTAAAATAATGAGAGACTCTTCAGGTAGTGTTACAACCAGTCTTCCAGAAGGGCAGCTAGGTGGCACCATAGATAGAGCACCAGCCCTGGATCCAGGAGGACCTGAGTTCAAATCCAGCCTCAGACACAAAACACTTATTAGCTGTGTGACCCTGGGCAAGTCACTTAACCCCGTTGCCCAGTCAAAAACAAACAAACAAAAAAACCCCCAAAGCAACCAGTCGTCCAGGACTGGGATCAAAGGCAGACAAGGTCTGCTGAATGGTAGGGATCGTGCCATTTCAATTCTGTTCATTTCACACACCAGCAAGGTTATGCTTAAGATTCTGCAAGCTGGGCTTCAGCAATGTGTGAGCCGAGAATTCCCTGAAGAGCTGGTTCTCCCAGAGGGAGAGGAAATTACCTGAAGTATTACTTTGGCTGCAGCCCCTGAACTCTGGTGTGGTGTCCCATGGTTGTCATCCTCTTTAATGAAATTATTATTTGTTTCTATGATTTATTCTTTGACCCACTCATTGTTTAGGATTATTTAATTTCTAATCTATGTTTTCACAGTCTTATTGAATACATTTTAATTGCATTATGGTCTGAAAAGGATGCATTTAGTCTTTCTGCTTTTATGCATTTGGTTGTAAGGTTTTGATGCCCTAATTTATTGTCAGTTTTTGTGAAGGTGTCATGTATAGCTGAGAAAAAGGTATATTCCTTTCTACTCCCATTCAGTTTTCCCCGGAGATCTATCCTATGTAACTTTTTAAAAATTCTATTCATCTCTACTCATCTCTTCTTTATTTTATGGTTGCAGTTATCTAGTTCTGAGAGTGGAAAGTTGAGGTCTTCCATTAGTATAGTTTTAGCTTCTATTTCCTCCTATAACTCATTTATCTTTTCCTTGAATAATTTAGATACTATGCCTCTTGGTGTATACATGTTTATTATTGATATTACTTTGTGTATTGTATTTTTTTTTTCAAAATGTAGTTTTCCTGCTTATCTCTTTTATTTAGGTCTATTATGCTTCAGTGATGCAGTGTTTATTTTCTCAGAGGAAAAAAATGTATTTATAACAAAACTAGGCAATTATTAAAAGCTTAATGTATCATTAAAGAATTTTGAGCTCAAACCCCTTGGACTATCATCACCAACTCCCAAGAGATTCTTGATCCCCTAAATGGGAAGTGTTGCTAGAAGACTAATAGTGAAACATATTGTATACTTCCTAGAAGATGATGGTGGACTCTAGATTCAGTATGAGAAATAACATTTTTGGACATGGGAAATCCAAATTTTTTTAAAAACTATTTATTTCAAGTATTTTAGGTTTTCTGTTTTTCATTTAGGGAAGAGGCAAAAAATAAAATTTTAAAAAAGACATAATGGCAATCTTTAAAAAGTGATGGTCCAGAACAGAATCTAATATGCCACAGGTTAAAAAAAAACTAAGGTTGGCACTCATAATGGAATCTCATTTACAGCAACAAAAAATAATTTGAAATGGGATCACCAGATAAATTACATTATGATTAAAATATGATAAATAGTGAAATAATATGAATATTTTGTATATTGCAGCAAATGGCATAAAACCCATAGATATGAATTCATTTTACAAAAAGGTGGATATAACTCTGAAAATTTTTACAGGACAATTGAAAAGAGTAAATCTTTTTCTCAAGTTGGCATGAAATTTAGAAAGAATGACTGTGCAATGAAGCATCAAAACTGGTCTGTATGGAATAGAATAAAATTGTCATTAATAAGATGCATTTGAAGAAAGGATTGAAAATGAAACAGAGCATTTGTCTAGTGCAGTGGACAGAGCACACTCAGTCACCAGGTTTGAGATCGACTCTTAGCTGCTGGGACTTGGGTCAGGTCACTCAGTCACTCAGAGCTCATAGCCTGAGTTGTGAAGTATAAGGAGAATGCTAGCCCTGTCTTTGTCTCTGGCTTGTTGTGAGGATCCAATGCAATTGTTTGTGGAGCTCTTTGTTAATTAAATCATCTTATGGGGATGAGCTAATAGCATTTTCAAATGGTTGATCCTGCCCACTTAAATTTGAAGACTCTTCTTTTTGATTGGGTAATTGAATGTTATTCAGTTTTCTTTCTGCCAATGGAAGGAAGAGTATATATTTATGTGTGTGTATGTGTGTGTTTCCACCAGATGCAGAGACCGGCTTTGATGTGAAGAGGATGAATACAAATCTGAAAATGACCTCATGGAATGACTGTTCTCATTATAGTGAATGCAGCGATTATCTTGTGAACATCAGAGAACCCATATTGTCGAGAAACAATGTGAACGCACTCAACATGGAAAAGCTTTCAGAAAGAGTTCTAGTGTTGCTAACTCTAAGAGAACCACACTGAAGAGAAACCTCCTGAGTGTCATGAATGTGGTAAAACTTTTAGGGACAACTATTCCCTTATTGCACATCAGAAGTCCACACTGGAGAGAAACCTTACGAGTGTCTTCAATGTGGTAAAGCTTTTAGTGCCCACTCTTCTTTTATTAAACATCAGAAAATCCACACTGGAGGGAAACCTTCTGAATGGAATCAATGTAGACAGGCTTTTAGGTGCAGCTCCCATATTTCTCCACATAAGAGAATCCACAGTGGAGAGAAACCTTCTGAATGTAATCAGTGTGGAAAGACTTTCAGATACAAATCAAATCTTGCTAAACACCAGAGAATCCACAGTGGAGAGAAACCTTATGAATGTAATCAATGTGGAAAGACTTTCAGATACCACTCCAGTCTTGGTCCACATAAGAGAATCCACAGTGGAGAAAAACCTTATGAATGTAATCAATGTGGAAAGACTTTCAGAGGAAGTTCTGGTTTTTCTGCACATAAGACAATCCACACTGGAGAGAGACCTTATGAATGTAATCAATGTGGAAAGGCTTTCAGATGCCGCTCCAATTTTGCTGCACATCAGAGAATCCACAGTGGAGGGAAACCTTATGAATGTAATCAATGTGGGAAGGCTTTCACACACCATTTCCAACTTGCTCTTCATCAGAGAATCCATACTGGAGAGAAACCTTATGAATGTAATGAATGTGGAAAGACTTTTAGACACAACTCCAGTTTTGCTGCACATCAGAGAATCCACACTGGTGAGAAACCTTACAAATGTAATAAGTGTGGAAAGACTTTCAGAGACAACTCCAGTTTTGCTAAACATCAGAGAATCCACAGTGGAGAGAAACCTTATGAATGTAATCAGTGTGGAAAGGCTTTCCATAGAAACTCCAAGCTTCGTCTACATCAGAGAATCCACAGCAAAGAGAAACCTTATGAATGTAATCAGTGTGGAAAGGCTTTTACAGAGCAGTGGTATCTTGTTAAACATCAGAAAAGCCACACTGGAAAGAAACCTTATGAATGTAATCAATGTGGAAAGACTTTCAGTCGCAGTTCCTGGTTTGCTGCACATAAGAGAATCCACAGTGGAAAGAAACCTTATGAATGTAATCAGTGCGGAAAGACTTTCAAAGACAAGTCAAATTTTGCTAAACATCAGAGAATCCACAGTGGAGAGAAACCCTATGAATGTAATCAGTGTGGAAAGGCCTTCAGAGACAAGTCAAATTTTGCTGCACATAAGAGAATCCACACTGGAGAGAAACCTTATGAATGCAATCAGTGCGGAAAGGCTTTCAGATGTAGCTCCAGTTTTTGTGCACATAAGAGAAGCCACACTGGAGAGAAACCTTATGAATGTAACCAGTGTGGAAAGACTTTCAGATACAGCTCCAGGTTTGCTGAACATAAGAGAATCCACAGTAGAGAGAAACCTTATGAGTGTAATCAGTGTGGAAAGACTTTCGAATACAAATCGAATTTTGCTAAACATCAGAGAATCCACAGTGGAGAAAAACCTTATGAATGTAATCAGTGTGGAAGGGCTTTCAGAGACAAGTCAAATTTTTCTGAACATCAGAGAATCCACACTGGAGAGAAACCTTATGAATGTAATCAATGTGGAAAGACATTCAGAGGAAGTTCCGGTTTTTCTGCACATAAGAGAATCCACACTGGTGAGAAACCTTATGAGTGTCGGGAATGTGGCAAGGCCTTTAGTGTGCACAATTATCTTATTAAACATAAGAAAATCCATACAAGAGAAGTCTTATGAATGTAATCAATGTAGAAAGACATTCAGAGCAAGCTCTAGTTTTGCTGAACATCAGAGAATCCTCACTGGAGAGAAACATTATCAATGTAATCAAAGTGAAAAGGCTTTCACACAGTGCTCCGCTTCTACTCGTCATCAGAGAATCCACACTTGAGAGAAACCTTATAAATGTGGGAAGACTTTCAGACACAACTCCAATAATATTGCACATATGAGATCTGAGACTCTTTAATAAAGTGCCTTTGGCTCAAAGCTTGGCCTCAATCTCTTTTATTGTAGGATCAATAATATTAATCCCCACATACCTCTTTCTGCAGTACAGATCTCATTAGACATCACAAATTTCAGCCCTGAAAATGAATTGAATTTTTCTCTGAAATCCTAAGGTTTCTCATGACTCCCCTATGATATTCCATGGCATTCGTATGCCATAACTTCTTTAGCCACTCCCCAGTGATTGGGCACTCATTTTGTCTCATGTTAACTGGCACAAAAAGTCCTAGTAGAAATATTTTGGTATCTTTTGGACATTTCTTTTTGTAACGATTTCTTTAGCCTGCTAAGTGGCACAATGGATAGAGGGCTGTCCCTGAATTCACAAGACCTGAATTCAAATTCAATCTCTGGTACTTACTAGCTGAGTGACCCGGACAAGTCACTTAACCTATTCTTGCCTCGGTTTTCTCATCTGTACAATGGAAATTGTAATAGCAATTACCTCCAAGGGCCAAAGAGAAGACCAAATGAGACAATATTTATCAAGTGCTTTGCAAGCATTAAGGCACTATGTAAATGTCAGCTATTGTTTTTCCTAGGATCTTATCTCTCAACAGCAAAGTCAGTGGGCTAAAATGTATGGATAGTTAGGGTTAGGAATTGTTATTCAGAAGAGTATAGATGAAAGCAATATGGTGTAATGGATAGGGAACAGGGTTTAGAGCTAGGAAGCCTTGGGTTTAATTTCAGACTCTGAGGCTCTGTCATTGTGTAACTCTGGGTGAGAAACATCTCTGTGCCTCCATTTACTCATGTCTAAAATGAGGAGGTTGGACTCAGCCTCTTCTGTGCTCCCTTACAGCCCTAAATTTGTTATTAATCAAAAGTACCTTCATATTTTTATAGATTTGGCTCTGTTCCCTATATATTTGAGAAATGAGGTTATCAGAAAATCTTGTTGCAAATATCCCCCACCCCCTCAGTTTCCTATTTTCCATCTAATTTTGGCTACCTTAGTTTTGTTTGTGCAAAAGCTCTTTAATTTCATGTTCACCTCAGTAAGTGTTGAGCAGATGCCATTGGATGACTTAATTTTAGGTGCAAGATCAGTCAATTTGCTCCACGGCTACCAGTAATCCAGATTTTTTTTTGGGGGGGGAGGTTATCTGCTATAATTAACCTTAAATCTTTTACCTTATAATAGTCAAAAATCCCATTCTGAGGCCAAAATGATTCACCAGCTGAATTGTTTTTAACCAAATATCTTAGAACTTGATTGCATGCTTTTTGATCACCCCAGCTTAGCTGGGAGCTCTCTCTTACCCCTGGCTTCAAAGAGTTTCTCCAAGTGAGTCTCCTTAGGTGCACTGTTCTTGCTACTTCTACCTCCCACTATAAAAAAAATGAGGTTCTGAGACTCACAAAAAGACAAAACAAACACACAGTTGTGAGATAGTGGCTGGCATCAGTGTGAGTGAGGCTTTAGTTACCGTCCTCTGAATTTTACAAAGTACCTCCACTGTTTGGAGAAATTAAGAAATTTTTGCTGGTTCAACCTTCCTGTAGGTGATTGAGAGAGATAGATGACCCAAGAACCCCAAAGGTTTTCAGTTGTTTCAGGAAGCCCACCGAAGCCCATGAGACTCAGCTAAGCAGCCTGGGCCCAGGTCTGGTGCTCAGTTTATAATCTAAGCAAAGGGGTAGGGACCCCCTGGCAGGAGTCTCTTCTCCCTATTCTGGGTGCCAGCTCCTGTATCCAGAGCTGACAGTCAGTTAGCAACTGAAGAGAATCCCATGGCTTACTTGAAAATGTAAGTGCCTGGGGTACAAGTGAAGCTCTTGGGAGGATGCAATCCCCCCATGGACCTTTGCTTTCTATAACTGGATCCACAGCACTCCCCTTACCCAGCAGAGGAAAGCCTGTTGATGGGTTCTGTCCTGAGTCTGGGTGCTCAGTTTATAAACTGATACAGGGTAATTTGGAGTTAAATTTGAAGGCTGTCTCTCCCACTGACAGATTTTTAAAAATGAACAAACCTCCACAGCTGCATTGCTATTTTCATTTTGGTCACTAGATGTCTCCAGAGACCGCTGTATAACACTCCTCTTTCTGATCAAAGAAAGTCAATTTGCCCCATATTTTTCTATATTTACCCAGGACCCCAAGTAATGCTATTTCACCAGGCCCCTCAATTCTACCAAAGTAGAAAAACACGGAGAGTAAAAACACTGAGATTTCCCAGCTACAAATATTAATCCCTTAAATCTCAAAAAATAAAATAAAATAAAATAAAAATCAGAGAGAGCCAGTGAAAGGACCTAGTGTTTACTTTTGTGGTTGGAGATATAGGACTGGCCCAGCTTTCCAAGTCTGGAGAACACTCAAATTACCCCTGGCTTCTGGGGGTCTTGCTCAAAGGCTAAGAGCCCAGTTAGGAAAATTCCTTCAAGGGGTCATCTACCAATCCTATTTGGAGAGATGTTTGAGGGGTGAATTCTCCACCAAGGATGATCCAGGAAATATGCCCCATTTTAGGTCTTGCCAATTATTACCAAATAAACAAGTTGCAACTCTTTGATACAAATAAGACATCCAACAAACAAAACAAAAAACATGCAAACTTATTCCCGATAAAGCACTGACTGTCTTGCCCCGAGAAGATCTGACTGTCATGAGAGTCAGTCCACAAGCACAGACTGCCTAACAGAAAACTCTCCCTTTGTGGAAATTTCCACCAGGGCCCTAAAGTAGAGTGTAAGTTCTGCCAAGGGGCCTGGGGAAAGCTCTTTTCTCCCTGTTCCCATGACTACCACCAAACGATTGTGAGTGAAATTTAACAAAGATAGACTGAGGCACATTCTCTCTGAGCAAGATCATAATTTATTAGCAGGGGCGCTATCTGTTAATAAAGCCTGTCAATGGATGCTTCCATTCTGCCAAAGACCTGAGATGGAGGCATGGCTCCTTTTTGCAAGATTAGAACAAAAGGCACAACAGGGTAGGTGAAGAAAGAATATAACTTCTATTTTTTTTTTTGGCTAAGCAATGGGGTTAAGTGACTTGCCCAGGGTCACACAGCTAGTAAGTGTTATGTATCTGAGGCCAGATTTGAACTCAAGTCCTCCTGAATCCAGGGCTGATGCTCTATCCATTTCACCACCTAGCTGCCCTA